CTTCAAGGACATACAAAGCCTCGTAATTCAGTGAGTGTCCACTGTTTGCAAATCACTGGCAAATCCTAGCTCAATTTGATTTATATTCTGCAGTCAAATCCTTATTAACCTAAATTAATTAAGCTCAATGAGTTGGTGGTGTATATAAAAGCCAGGGAATCGTATTACACAAATATGCAAAGAGAAGACAACTTTAAAAAGACGTCAACTGCGCACGCGGAAGACGGCTACAGCGTGTTGTTGTTTACAACCAAGCGTCTATCCATGGGACTTTTGTATTGTGCGTTGTTATTGTCGGTTGGACTCAATTCCCACACGTGCGTAGGTGACGACCCCTCCACTTTAAAACAATTACAGTGTTCAACTGTCTAACATTGGCATTTATATATTGGAAGTGTTACGAACACACGTGATTATGGGAGATTTCGTCATTGGCTATTGTCCCAGTGAGTAAATTCATCGATAGTTCATCTTGTATTAAGTTGTTATTATTTCTTCTTAGTGAATACAATATGACACTTGGCTTCAGGTTGCTGGGACCCAACAATATGAAGTGAACTCTGAAAGAACAATATCATACATTCTGTGAACCTATGCACCTTATTATTGTGACAAGTTAAAAAGCAAATTAAGACATTCGAATACTAAATACTATATAATAAGATATATGTCCAGAAACCTGAGATGTAGGCGATGTATGTGTCTATATGTATGTCATTATTAATCAATACATTCCTACATAGCTTCGTATGTGTGCTACATTTGGTTCTTCAGGCTAATGGTAAACAAATGTACATTATAAGCACAGTTTTTATACACTCATGTCCCATAGAAATGGGAACTTAACGAGATGGCAGTTCCAATGTTTCACTCGCACTGATGATCTACTGAAATATTTAGAGAATTCAAATGATGTTGACAATGCTTAACGTGGGGGCAGAACATTGTTCATGCCAATGACTCCACGTACTGTATCAATGACCGAGATTTAGTTGAGAGTGAGACTGTCATGATTCTTGTTTTTGCTGGCCAAATAGTCTTCCTTTCTCTATCTATCGTCACGTCCATTGTTCCCTACGTGACCATGGTATTTGGTGGTAGAGAATGGTTCATTTTCTGGGAGACAAAAACAAGTCGCACTCCCGGCCATTTGCGAATATGGTTTATTAGCAAGACCTTTCTTTTGTAGATTCGCCTATAATATTAATAAATCATGAACACAAAATGATACCCAAATTAGTTACACCTTGAATTAAATATGGGATAGGGAGTTCCTGCTAATTAAATGCAGGACAATGTAACAGTTTAACTCACTCAAGTTACAAATGAAATGTTACCTGTTTTGGTACACAATCCACCAACTTAATATCAAAGTTGTATAGCATTAGCACAATTAACATATGGATCTCCATCAATGCAAACCATCTAGAATATATAATTATGTGCACGTAATTAATGAGATTCGAGTAGAATTGAAGATTACATGTCACACATTCATTAATATGAGTTCATACCATCAGATTACCGAAAATGAAAAACACGGGGTCATCAGGTGACATTTTTGATTTACAATAGTCCAACATATAATGGAAAATAGTTAAAAATTGTAATTTTTCTGGTTTCTATGGTGAGATTATTTATTAGTCATATCTCAAAATTGTATTTGATGACATGGAATGAAGAAGTCGTATCTAATTATTGATAAACAGATTGTTAAATATTGTTAGATTTATAAAAAAAAAAAAACGACATATAATTTAGTCAGTTTCCAGTGTGATACTATTTTTCCATTATACTAGTATACACTCATTATGGGAGGATATCTCTTATACTGTATTGCATATGTATGCAGTAACATGCCAAAAAGTGCAATACATGTATTTTAAATTCGGCTCAAACTAACTAAAAAAAACCCGCAGATATATTGTACTCAGTACCAACATAAAGCGACAACACGTGTATAGTTTGTTAACCATACATATATTTATTTTTATATTTTGCATATATTCACAGGGTTTTAAGTTCACGAATTTTCTATATTGCGTTCTATTGTAATTTTAAATGGTCACGTACATTTAATTTAGCGTATTTTAGTTATCAGCGACAATATCGATATTAAAACCCAGAGAATAATTAATGCATTTAGGGCAACTAGAAATCTGTGTATTAGTTAAACGATGATATCATGGATACATGGCTAATGTATTTTACTTTGCGTAACCCACCAAACACGCATTTGGTATCCATCAATTTAAAATTACATGTATTATAATAGTTAAAAACAGTTAAGTAATAATACCTTCCGGGACATTGGTATCTTCCACCTCCAAATGCAACAAATCCATCAAGAAAGACATTTTTCTCCAAATCAGCTTTCAACCAACGATCCTGAAAACATTAAGAAATATTATTTAAGGACACCATCTGATGTACCTACAATAATTAAATCTTAATTGAAATTCACTACTACGGACACGTCCAAAGTGTACCATCGCAATTATATTTAAGCGTTTTTTAATTAAATTAGTCATAAAATATACACAATTAGGAGTAAAGAATAAACACAACTGCACCTAATTTGAACTCATCGATACCTATTCGTTATATATTGTGTTTGTGGGCTATTGCCCAAATCTGTTGCATTTATCAAACTACTAACAAAAGACGTGGCTTGCAAACTAAAATTCACCCATGATATATGTTAAAATAGATGCAAACACAACGAATGACACTTAGGATATTGAAATTAGTTATTCACAAGTAGGAATTGCATACATACATGCATTTGGACGTTTGATTACCACTAATGAAAATCGAATAAATAATCAAATACTAATTATGTAATACTCACTGGGCTAAACGAGTCTGGTTCTGGGAAAAGATTTTCATTTCTGTGAGCCCAAAATGGGGACAACATTAACAAATCACCCGCTGGAACGGTGAAACCCTAGTGAAGATAAAGCATATTACATTCACAACCATTGATTCTCAGACAATCGCACACATCATTCAAATTGAAAAGTGGGCGGACAATATTCACTGTTTACAACATGAAACATACAACAAATATGTTTTTTTTTTTTAGTTTAATTAATTTTTACTAAGTTATCATGTTTGAACAAGTATTCATGTGTTGTTCTATCACCCCTGGCAATAATATAGTTTAGCATAACAAGAGGACTCGTTTGTCACCACTCTTCCACATCTTGCAGAACTCAACCTACATATACTTCATCGGATAAATTATTAGATAAAAATTAACATAAGCATAATATTTTATAATATTTACCCTTATTGCAAAAGGCTTAACGACCTTCCTAGTGATAACACCCGGTGATCGAAGACGTATTGCCTCCAGAATGGCTCTTTTGATCTGGCACCTTCTGCAAGTCTTTTTCTGTTAACTTTAATTCTCCTCTCCTGTCACCAATGACACTATCAATTTCTTGTCGCAATGAAACTTCAATATCTTTGTTTGATAAAATAAATGCTAGCGTCCAAAATGTGATCTATATGTAGTACGAATGGGAAAATAATTATCATCACATTTTCCCGTCTATGGGTTTAGAGAAACAATGGATTTTGGCAGTGAGCGTTCACATCCCGTCATTATTAGTACTATTTCTTAAAGTGACAGTCAAGTACTAGTTTAGCAATGAAGCAAAGGACTTTATATAACACATCCAATATATTCAAAATCGTGATGACCATGAATGAACCATATTACATAATGCAGGCGCAACGCCGTGTCGTAGTCCTATGAAATAGTATTATTTGATATTGCATATTGATGAACTAATTCATTATGATTTGTCGTAACAACAATATTATAAAATAACATGTTTTAATTGATATTACATGTGTAATATGTAATAGAAAAAAATATAGAACGTAGGTATTCGATTCATAGGAATATCATTAAAAACGTTCAATATAGTAAACACAGAGAATGTCAGTATATCACAAGATATATAAAGTGACGTCAGCAAATTCGTTACAATGTTTCATATTCAACACATGTCTCAAAACTACCGTATAACAAATTGTTATGTATATGCATATATACTCACCGGAATAGCATTAGCTTGCGTTGCCCACAGTAACAATAACGAGTAATTAGGAGCAACTTCCTTGTCAACTAAATTAACTAAGGACTGTAACAAAGTCTAAAAACAGGAGAAAAGGGATATTTTAATGAGGCATAAAGTACAAGGAAATGTAAAGCGGACAACTTCAACAATTTGAGAGTATGGAACCATTTTTCTGCACACAGAAATAAGTATGGCACATAATAACTGTCAAGTTTGTATTATGACATTTTAAATAAATTCCCCATCTGACCTATAAATTGAACTTCTCTGTTGCTATCAATTGAATTCATAAATATATTTGGAATATTTCATAACGAAATGCATTCCATATGCACGTCAATAATAATTTTCAAATTACTGATTACACGTGAATATTTAAGAACAAAACATTTTTGCGTTATATTTCATTTTTATGACTGAATGAAGAAGCTGAATGAAATGTAGCGCGTTCAACAACCCATGTATGAACAATAAATTAATATGATAAATATGAATTTACTTGGTAACAATACTGTACTTTCCTCCATAAAAACGATAGAATTTCAAAATGTTGAACCTTGAGAAGCACCGAATATCAGAATACCTTTGGTAGTCCGATATCGTGTGGTGGTGTTTACTTTATTTTTAGTTCTGTATAAATTTCGTGTTTTTGATTTACCAAATGATATAAAATAATGAAAGACACTTTCTCGCAGTCTACTTAATTAAATACGCACATATTAAGTATTCAAAGAACATTTTTTAGTTAATATTTACTAACTACTGACAACAGCTGAACTTGTGCATAGTTAAAAAGAAGACAGTAACCTTATTTTCCAGTTGCTGAGTCTGAGTCTCTAACTTCTTCACCACACCATCGAACATTGATAACAACCAGTATTTACACTGAGTCCAAGACCTGTGAATGATACATAGAATATCATCCGGATTCCAGTAAATCATAATGTGCATGAGCCATGTGACAGACGATTCTTGAGCAGAGAAAAGACACGTGAAGTAGAGGTGAAGTAGGTATGTTGATGAGCACATTTCTGCATGTTTTCAGTTTTTTGTACTGGCTAAAAAATCCCATAAGTCGATGACTGATGTTTGAATTAATAACTAAGACAAATAAACATGCTAATTTTTATTATAACCACAACACAACACAACCCCCCACCCGTTATGATTTGAACCTGAGACCTGCTGTTCATGAAACACAAGCAACAACCACCTGATCTCCTACGATGCAGTGTATCCTGTGGTTTTAACTATAAACAGAACCTGACAGTCATATTATTTGAATCTAACCTTCCTGTTGCCAATGTGTGGGTTTAAAGGGCGGTGGTCGTCGTGCCGCGCATGTGAAACATTTGTGTTTATAGACATTATTTCTCCCACAATCAAATGTGCTCTTCTATTGAAATCAAGAGTACGAGTTTTGATCTGGGTGCCACGTACAATAATTGTCGACGATGACCCTTTGAATACCTCCAAATCACCAAATAAATTACCCAGTTAAAGCTTGGAAACGTTGGTGCACTCGTTGGTCTGCACAACAGTCAAAATCGCCATCTTTGTTCTTATGAGACCCATATCTTGCACATGTGTGTCGCGACGACCACCGCCCTTTAAATACATACCACCGGAATATTACCCACCTCATAAACATCTCGGGCAACTGAGAACCATACTCAAACCCATCATCATACTTCACAAACGTCTCTTCCAACTCATTTATTTTGTCATCAGTGGTTGGCAAGATCTCATCACCAAATAGATTATTCACAACTGCCGCGAACATGATACGTCTCACCATCAACATCAGGTCCCCTTTCCCGGACGATGGTAACTTGGATATCTGCTTATTAAATTGGTAACATAGATTCTCAGAGAATTGATGAAGATTTTTCGGAGCCAGTTTTCCCTTCATCATATCGTGGATGTTGGTGTGACTTTTAAAAAAATAAGTGTCTTTGATATTTGCTGCAAAGGAATCAACAAATTATTCACCCAAACGCGTATTTTTATTGATGCACGTCTACAGATCAAAACAACCTGATGATGTGGAAGGCATTCCATTTACCCATTCGCACGAGTAACCCCATTATTAGAGGACACACAGGGCAGTTTAGTCGTCACTTGAGCATGCGGCAGACGACCATAGCGTGTTGCTGTTTACAAATAAGCGTCCTCACACGAGCCTTTGCGTATTTATCGGGCGTTGTTATCGTCACGTGACGCATGCGCCGTTGACGATCCTCCACTTTAAACACTATACACAACAATGGTAATACATGACACATAAGTCATTACAAATTTGACATTTCTTTCAAAACTAGTTGGATTTGGTAAACTTACATTCAAAAATCAGGTTTGGTCATTCTGTTACCACATTCCATGTAAAAAGGGACTACAGGCATCTATTTCAAAATAGACTATGTAATAGACTATGTAAATTCGGACACTAATACCGTGTTTACTATTGAATTATATGGAAGGCCCTGGGAAACATGTTCGGATTATGTAGTTTTCTAATGTTACAAAGCACAGTTATGATTTATCGTTTTCTCTCATCATGACTACATATAGTGTATATTTTATTATAGTCTAGGCGATTGGTGCAAAATACAGCTTGAATTGCTCAGTAAATGATAAAAGCATGAAACTTGGCACAATTATACTTGAGCCTGTACTGAATATTTTCAAAGGTGGAGCCCATGGATACATCATGTTTCCTAGCAATGGTTGCTAAGGAAACCGATTGATCCTAGCAACGAGCCGTTTAAGCATATCTAATCCATTCCGGAAGAATAATGTTATGTGTTTTAGCATCACAACTATCTAAAGTCATGTTCTAAAACCACTACAAGTATCAACATTAAACAGAAACAAAATTTGCTTGTTGTTAGGCAGCGGATGATCCATGCCAATTGTCTATTTATATCTTAATTGTTCTTCATATTTGAACTTAATACTGCCTATAACGTTATAGAAGAGAAATATTTTGATATATTATAATAATCTTTACAGATTCTCATTAATGATAATTGAAAGATAAAAACGTATTTAGTTGCTAAGTAATCTGTTTACCATAGCAACACATAGAACAATCCATGGCCTATTTACCGGAATCAGAAAGCCATGGTCTTTTACCGCATGTACATCAAATTGAAACAATGTTGTTAGGCAATACATTCATGAAAGAAACCAACTATTTTTGGTCAGATGGATTGTTTCAAAAATATGAACATTCTCAAGTTTCAGGAATTGTCACAATGTACAATAAATGGTGCATTTTAAGTGTAGTGAAAGTTCTTGCCGCTTCCAAATGCAATCCAGAGGTCTATCCTTCCTAGCTGCTGAACAGTCGCTACTGCTAACACAACTACATCGGTGTCTACTGTCCGAACAAGGATCTTGTGGAAGCCCCTGTCGGCATCAGCAACATGTGCCATGATCCTGAAGTCTGCTTCTTCACGATTGCAGGGAGTAATGCTGGATATGTCTCGTGCAGGTATATAGAGTACGTTAGCACCATCAGTGACAACAAGAGGGTTTA